AGAGAGAGAGAGAGAGAGAGAGAGAGAGAGAGAGAGAGAGAGAGAGAGAGAGTTGTGACTTTGGGACTTGACGACATTGGATGCAGACACGACATTGGGATTCAGACATTTGACGAGGGATTATTTGGGGCCTGTGTCGTGGACTTGGTGTTGACGACATTCCCATTTTCCCCTCTTCTTCGTCTAAACCCCCTCTTCTTCGTTTGTGTATGGTTGGGGACTGGCGCATTCTTCCTGTGTGAGCGCCAGGCCCCTTCACACCATGGAATGATGATGATGTATGTTTGGGGCTGCATTGCAACATTGATTGTTCGGATCATTAGTATCTAAGTCTTCCGCTACGCTATCTTGTACTTCGTGAGAGAGGTCGGTTCTTGTTCTGGTCTGCACCTTTACGGTATGCGACACCTATGCTAATAGACGGTCCTATAGCCTATAGCCGGGTAAGGTAGAGGCCGAGAGGGCGAAACTGAATCAGTACCGGCCAGTCAGTTTGTCCGGTCTAAGTCGAGTCTAGGCTAGTTTTAGTCTATAGATAGTATGGGCACATTGCATCTCAAATGGAAGGAGGAGGAATTCCGTCTGGTTAGTGTATATGCTCCGAATAACTCAGCGGAAAGAGCCTCCTTTGTGGCAAGGTTGGGTAGTGACCTCCCACCCCTAATACCGTGCATATTAGCGGAGGATTCGAATGTCACCCTCAATCCAGAAGCAGACCGAATATCCCGGTCCACACAGCCTTACAACGCAAACGAGGCATCACCAGTCCAGAAACTGATGATCGATCATGGATTGGTCGACCCGTTCAGGACGATGCACCCCACTGCCAGATCCTTCACTCTAGTAAAAAAGAACCATGCCGATCACACTGCCTTCTCGAGAATAGACTACTTTTTAGTGTCAGGGACAATGATGGGGGCCATGAAAGTAGCGGAGATCCTACCCCTAGCACCCTATTCAGGACTGGATCACAAGCCAATAGAGCTCACTATATGCTTTGAACAACGAGTAAGGAAAGGTGCAGGTTTTCATAAATTGAACAACTCCCTCTTGCTGAGCCAAAATTTTCAAGAAGGGACACAAGATTTTTGGAAGGAGAGATGCATGAGCCTTTTACCTACCATGGACAGGAGGGAGTGGTTCATAGAAAGCTATTCCCTTCTAGCGAAAGAAGTTGCGGGCATGTCAAGGAAACTGGCCTCTATTAGAAGACAGAGAAAGCGGAGCCTGAAGGAGGCGCTAAAGATAGCAGAACACAACCTGAGGGATAACCCGTCTTCAACACTTTACATAGGCATATTTGAGAAAGCAGGAGAAGAGCTAGCAATGTGGAAATGGTGGGAGCTAAAGGGTCTGCAAATAAGAGCCAGAATGTGTGAATATGAGCTCAGCGAGTCGATGTCAAAACACTTCTTCGCCCGAATTAAGGCGAATACAAGAGCGGCCACAATAGAGAAACTTAAAACCCTCCACAACCCGATGGCGACAGTGGAGACTAGTGAAGGAATTTTAGCAAGGGAATTCTACCAAGAATTATATCAGACCAAGACCCAAATACCTAATCCAAGCAGCACGTTGGAAGCAAGGCAAAGAATGCTACAGTATTTGGAGCAGACAATATCGAAAGAACAAGCAGAAGAGTTTGACAAACCCCTATCACTGGACGAGCTTCGGCAAGCCCTCAAGAGTATGAAAAATGACAAGGCACCAGGCATAGATGGGCTGGCGAAGGAATTCTGGGAGAAGTTCTGGCCAAATTTAGGGGGGGACCTTTTGAACTTCTACAGGGATAGTTTTGAAAAAGGGGGCCTTGGTAACGTAATAAGTAGCAGTGTGGTCACGCTGCTGTATAAGAAGGGTGACAAGGAGGATATTAGGAATTATAGACCTATTTCCTTACTAACCCTTCCGTATAAAATCCTGGCCAAGACCCTGGCTGCTAGAATTATGAGGATAACGGATAAATGTTTCCACATAGACCAGACAGGGTTTATCCCGGGACGCTACATACTTGACAATGTGCTCACTCTAAATGAAGCAGTCAACAAAGTTAGGCAAAGAAGAATAAACATAGCCATACTCTTTTTCGATTTTGAGAAAGCATACGATCAAGTCAACTGGTCCTTTATGGACGCAAGCATGGAAAGCATGGGGGTGGGGGCAATCTTTAGGAAATGGGTCCAGACCCTGTATAACGATGCTTCTAGGTGCGTGCAGATCAATGGCTTCTTGTCTGACAACTACCCAATCTCACGCTCAGTAAGGCAAGGGGACCCGCTCGCTCCGTCAATCTTACTATTCGTGATGGAGGCCATCGCCTCCTTCCTATGGAAAGACGCATCCATTCACAGGCTCCCAAAAGTCAATGTAGGAACATCTCACCATCTCAGTTTTCCGATAGTAATTTTGTTCGCTGATGACATGACAGTACTGATTAGAGCGTCAGATTCGTCCTTTAAAGCACTGTCAGACTGGCATCGGAAATGAAAATCAACTGGAAGAAAACCATAGGTTGGTGGCTGTCAAACGAACAAATCCCTAACTTGCAAGGGCCGGAGGCTGACATGACCTTGGACACACCGGAAGCCCCCACCCGCTATCTAGGCATTCTCATGACACGGGACGGGATGGCACCTCAGATGGCCCAGAATATGCTGTCCAAGCAGCTAATCAAGCTGGGAAGATGGGGTGATACCTTTACCTCACTGTTCGGCCGGGTCTTGGTTCTCAACACGTCAGTCTTCTCCATGATGTGGTACATTGCGTGAGTGTGGACAATTCCGGATGATTCACTAAAGGAACTAAATCGGGTGGCGAGAACATACCTCTGGATGGGCAATCCGAATAAGGAAAGTTGTATCCCAAAAAAAGCATGGCAGTACATCTCACGGAAGCCCATACAAGGGGGTTTAGGCATCATTGACCCGAGGTGTGAGACGAGAGCCGGCCCGTAAGAGGTCGTGGGCTGCTTCACAAGTAGATCCCTTAAGTCAAATGGATAGTCCGGCTGCTGATGAAGCCATGTACGGCGTGGAACGAGCTGGCTCTGGACAGCATAAGGGCGCTAGCTCCGATACCATCGCCGAGTAACATGACCGGCCTATTCTGGGTAATGAACAAGGAATGGTCGTTGAAGAAGGTGAGAAGAAGATCCAGGAGAGAAATAGACCAGAATATAGAGAACCGACAAACACCGTACTGGGTGGCTATCATCCGGATTTGGAAGGAAATAATGTCGAAAAAGACGCAGACCGAAATCTAGGGATGAGGTGCTAAGATAGCCTCTCTTTGGCAATGAATGGTTGAGATCCGAAAGTGACGAACCCTTGTTTTTAGACCACAAATGGTTGTCGTGGTTAAAGAACGGCGTCTGGACGATCAATCACTTATGGAACGAAGAAAAGAAGGAATGGGTATCGGAACAGGAGTTAAGTGTACGCCTGAAGGGATGCCACAGAAGAGGTCCGAACTTGCAATACATCACTAATCTGATCCCTCAAGAATGGAAAGACAAACTTGAACAGGAAGGGGACTGGAGTAGTGGGGACTGGGGGGTCAAAGTGGAGGAAAACCCTCCCTCTAGGGCTTTTCAGTTCTCACACTAACAACAAGGTGCAACTACACAAGCAGTGTTCACCTCCTTTCCGGTTGTTCACTCCACAGAGGGAATGTCGTCGATCATAAACACCAACGTCGAAACTATAATCATGGACAGCTTTCTGCTCAGGAAAGTAAGAGTGTTAGGAACGTGGCCGAAAAGCATCTACAGATTCGACRCGGCGCWRCGAAAYTTGGAGTTTGACCCAGGGGAGTGGGCATGGAAACCTGACAAGAAGGCAAACATTAACAGGTTCACCCCCATACAGGACTACACGGTCAAATTGGGATACAAACTATTGTTAAAAACAAAAGACCCAGATCCGGTGATCAAAGCCAGGTGGCAGAGACTGTTAGGTCAGGAATCCGACAACATCACTCAAATCCCGTGGAAAATCTACAAAGCGATCAGACCAATCAAAATCAGAAGCCTCTAGTGGCTAATAACATATGCGGCTTTGCCAGTTAATCAATGGTTGCATGTTAGGCGGAAAGGTTCAGACCCAGACAGCTCGGATCTATGTAAGGTATGCACGAAGAATGCAGCAGAAGACATAGTACACTGCCTAGTACACTGTAGGGAGGCAACGGACTACTGGGCAAGAGCCTCAACCCTCTGGAACTCCCTGTTCCCTTCCCCTTTTCCTGAAAAACCCATCCAAATTCTTCTTCTTATTAACATTCCCCATCAACCCCTGAAGACGGAAAAAGTCTGGTATGGGCTGATCAGGAAGGTGACCCTTTGGGTCATATGGAAGGAGAGATGCAGCAGAACGATCGAGAAAGTATCCAACTCAAACGATTTGGTCTGGGCGGAGACGAAGACAATGATTCAGGCAGAAATTCTCTGCCGATGGCGGAGTACTAAACAGTCATGGTCGGAAGATGAGGAACAACGCAAGAAGGCCAGACGAATTTTTATTAAGGTCTGGTTGGCAGACGGTAAAGTGGCTGATTTGAGGGACGACAACATTCGATGGAAGGATTGGCACAACTCAAGTGCAGGAGGAAGAGAGAGGCAGCAGAGGACAATGCAGGGACAAAGCTCCCCTGTTTCAGAATTGTAAAAAGGAAGCTCCTGACATTTCATTTGGCCCAGTCTCCTGGCTTATGGTATCTGAGGCGATCCGAAAGCATGAATTTGTTGACGTCCTTGAGACGCCAGGCCTAGCTGATCTCAGTGCGTACGTGGATTTTGAGGCCCTCCGGCAGGCTGTCAAATCATCTGGCGCAAACGCAGTAGCATTTGGGCCGATCACCCAAGCAGAGTTGTTGGGTAAGCTTGGAATCGCCAGCAGATTGGAGGCATTACTTCACCAAGCCACAGAGAAGCAAGCTCTTGCTCTTCAAGAGGGATATCGGAGGCTAGTTGGGGGGTCAGCGAGCGATCCAAGCATGGCATCAGAGGCAGAAGGTTCCTTGCACAGATTTGGAATCAACCACTGCAGGCTCCTCAAACGAGGGTGGTCGTATAGGAGGAATGGTGTGCCAATTTCTGAGAGTGTTTCTCTGGCCTTGACGGGTCTATGTTAAGGTGATCCCACCATCTTGATGCTATCATCGGGATGGAGGAAAATCAAACTAGCATGGTCGGAGGATGAGGAACAACAAAAGATGGCGAGACTGAGATTCAGCAAGGTATGGTTGATAAGCGGGAAAGTTGTTGAGTTACGAGACGACCGCATCTGCTGGAAGGACTGGCACAACTCAAATTCAGGAAGAAGCGTTCGACTGCAATAATGCGATACATGGGCAAGGCACCTCTCGATCAGGTTCCTAAAGAGAAAGCTACGAACTTATACTACCGCACCTATGGATGAACAGACTGGAGCCGACTGTACGACACTGAAAAAGGGGAGCGAGGAAGGGAAAGTTGACCAAAGGGATGTTGGAAGTAAAGGTGCAAGGAATACAGGCTCCCAAATCACTCAAAGAGAACAGATTCCTAACTTCCAGCCCAGAAAGGGACAGTAAGGTCCACAGGTTGAGGGTTTAGGGTCAAGGGTTTTAGTAGGGTTTAGAAGAAAGGGGCAGGCTTAACGGGATAGGGGATACCACGATTCACAGGCAGGACAGTTGAGTGGGGAATACACAAGTATGCAGAAATGATTGGCGAGCTCTTTCTAGGAGACACAGGATTATTTGGCAGAACTGATCTTCAGGTCTGAGAGGGAAGAGTGAGACACGGCAAGCTGAGAGTCAATCCTCCTCCTAACAGCGGAGCAATCAATGCTGTTCAGGGGTCCTTCGGCCAAACGGAAGGAAGCGTGCGTTTCTGCTGCAATGTAATGTGTATTCTGACTTGCCGGTGGAATAGGAACCGGACTGACGCGACTGTCGCGGCCGGTGGAATAGGAACCGGACTGAAGCGGGACTGACGCGACTGTTGGCGGACTGATGCGAACCGGACTGATGCTGAGCGACGGATGCGACCGGACTGACGGATTGCGCTCGCGCCGCTCGGTTAGCGCTGCGACCTTGCGCTGTTTGGTCCACCCGCGTCATCCAAACTCTTCTGCGTGATCTCGTGGTAGCGCGCGCTTCCAGGCGCGCGCCATAGCTGAGTGGCCAGTGGAGAAGATGAGAGGTGAACAAGAGTAGGATTTCACGACCTCTCGCCACGCCTTCGGGCGTGGCTACGGAAGGCATAGCCAGGTAGGAGGAGGTTGTAAGGAGAAGCGGCCTATTGACTCTACTGAACGACAAACGGAGCTACCAGAGGACCATAGTCACCACAGTTACCCGGACAGGACGTGAGTGATGCAAGCGCGCACGCAAGTATCGTCATATAAGGGGCAACTCAGAAGACAGCGGCATTCTGTGGACCAGACCAGAAACGAGGCAGGGCGATTCCCCCTCCAAGGCGTCTGAATCGAACGAGCACTATACGTCTCACACTTTGGTTACTCCTAATTTCCCCTCCGCCCCCTTTTATCAATCCCCCTAATCTCCTCTTCCTCTCCTCCATCCCATTCCGCACCTAGTCTTTCGTCTACCCTCCGCCCGATCTCATTCGCCTACCCTCTCACCGCTTGGTCTCCAACTTCTATTCAACCCACCTTGGCCATCACCCCGTCCATCCATTCTCGAGGCAGCACAGTATACCACCCCCCCACCGCCAGCCCTCCCGCTTCCTCCCCCGCCCCATCCTATCTCCACTCCCGCCCATCACCTCGGGCCCGCCCTCGCATCCCCTCGCCCCACCCGCCCCGGAGAGTACCCTGCACGGCGGCCTACACCCACCTTCCCCTAACACGACTTCGACGTTCCATATCACCTCCTTCAAATCGTCCCCCAATTAGTCCCCGTCCCCTACCGATTCCACCGCCACTCCATCAAGTCCACTCCCCCCAACTGTGGTCAGGCGATAAAACCTACACGCACGGTACGACACCTGTCCCGATCACGCCCCGTGCCCACCCGATTCCGCTTCGACCCGCTACGATCCTATTCCTCTACACCTTCCCGTCACGCTCCCTCTTACTCCCGCTCCTTTCTCCCACCCAAATCCGATTCATCCCCCTCACACCTGGTCCTCCCCAGATCCATTCCCGCCCCAAATCCTTCCTCACCTCCCTTCTCTTTCCAGCCCTCTCCCGATCCCACCCCACCCCCGTGCTTTCCCCTAAAGTCGTCCCTTTCTCCCTGTATTTCCTCGCTTTCCCCACCCCACGCAAGCGCCCTTCCCACGCTCCCCGACTGATAACCATTGCTCGTTCGTCATCCAACGGGGCTTCTTCTGTCTCCCCAGCCCCCAAGGGGAGAGGAATTAAGGTCCAATACTCTTCGATTATCCAAGATCGACTTTCACTCGCCACCCTACTGCGCCTCGTCTCTCCTCCCGCTCCTTAACTGTGGAAGGAAAACGCTGTCCATACTATTGCAACAAATTTAATCCTTGCTCGCATACTAATCATCCTCTATTCTCCCAACTAGGAAGAGAGGATGATGTCTAGTTTTGTTCAAGTAATTCAAGCCGGCGCCCTTCTAGCTATTCTTTTAAATTGTTCCTCCTCTTCCGATCCCCAAGCGGGGAGGGAGAACGATGTCCAAGGTTGATCCAATAAACCGAGAAGATGATTTCCAGTTTTTTATAGTGAAATCGGTTCTTCAGTCCCGCGCCAGGCCGGTTGTCTTGTCCAAAAGCCGATCCCCAGGTGGGGAGGCAAAACGCTGCCAAAATCCTCACAGATCCTTTAACCCCACATCATTGGACTGTCACCCATTCAACCGATCTCGTCCCCATACCGTTCCCACTCTCGTCTCCAAAGTGTAACCCCCGTCGACGCCACCCTTCCCCAACTCGCATCCCCGACTTCATCCCCTGCACTCGCCGCGCTATCACCACCACCAACCCCCGCCTTCACCCCAGGGCCCTCCCCACCTCGCGGAAGCACCCAAGCACCTCCCACATCAATCCCGCCCGTTTCACACTCCGATCGCTACTCCGATCGCTACCCAATTCATTCTGACAAACGTCCCTCTTCCTCGCCACCTAGTCAATCCCGAGCAACACTCACTTCCCCCACATCGCTCACCTCTCTCCACCTACCAGCATGATTGGCAAGTCGGACCTCCATCGATTGGCTTCCCGGCACTCAGTAATTATCATTACGGCTATTACTTTCCTCGACAAATTCAATCATCCGACATCCTACGATAGTCAACCTTTCTGCGTTGTTCCCACGATCCCCAAGTGGGGAGGCGAAGCTCTACCTTCGCACTGATCCCACGAGCGGTAAGTGAATTCTTGTCCTTTATGTCATTCTTTCCTCTCTTACGATCCCCAAGCGGGGGGGTGAAGCTCCTATTGTTCCTTTCTTGCGCCGATCCCTCGATCCGAAAGAGAAACCCAGCCTTCCCTTATTCTTTTCTCTCCCACGTTCCCCAGGTGGGGAGGCGAAGTCCCGTCTCTTTCACTGCTTCCTTCCTCGATCCCAAGATGGCGATCTCCTATTCCAGGGCAGCCCAAAAGGCAATGAACGAGAGGGAGAAGATGGACTTTGCCCGAGGTCAAGGAGGAACGACAACACCCCAAACGGGACAGTCGGCATCACAGTCAGGTACAGCACCGACAACAGGCGGAGCCAATCCACGTTCTTTGGGACAAAAAGCGATGGACTTCCTTATGGAGAAAACACAAGTTAGGGCGGAGATCAGGATCACGAAAGAAGTAGTCAAGGGAGAGGATGGGAAGGAAGAGGAAGTGGACGTGTGGGAATATCCTGAAGAGGATATCCAATCGTTGAATGAACTGTACGAGAAGCACAGGGTTTTGTTCAACTTCTCGGGAAGAAGCAGGGAGCTCTCTCTAAATGAGAAGAGAAGGTGGGTGAGGGACAGACTGTTAGCCTTGGAAAACATACCCGGGAAGGAACCAAAGGTGTCATTCCACAGGAGAGGAAGGTTTGCCGTGATGATCGTCTGTGTGGATCCTACCTACGCTCAGTACCTGCTGTCGATAGGATCTCTGAAATGCAAGGGGGCAGTAGTCACAAGTCAGCCCTGGAAGCCGCCAAGACCACCCCAAGCCGAAGCATCAAGACACAGACAATCAATGCTGAAGAATCATTTATAGGTTCAGTTTGACAACTTATTAGAAGGAATGCACAGCTTTGTGCAAAGGAGACTGCAGGAGGAATCTCCGAGCAATCCAATCATTGAATGGCTCCCAGCCAACCCCGACTTCCTGGCGCCAAATCACGACGCGAGGGTGGCCTGCTTGGAAGTCAAGTCAGGAGCATCGCCGAAGTTCCCAGACCAATGGATCTTCAAGAAAAGTGGCCAGAGAATCACAGTCTTCATCTCCACCAAGACCAACCCTTTCTGTTTCAAATGCAGCGGAAGAGGTCATCTGGGAACCTCCTGCCCACAAGGCGAATCAGGAGCAACAGGAGGGAAAAAGGTGGCATTGAGACAATCTATGCTGCAGGAGTGTGTAAGCAAGCCAGGAGTCTGGTACATCAACTCCTCTTTATACAGGGGTTGGATTTTCGATGACAACTTGGAAAATCCAAGGTGGGTTTGGGTGCTGAAGAAGGATCCAACGGTCAAACCGGACATCTATCCTCCATATGATAGCAGGTGGAGACACACAGGAGCTAAGAGAATGGAAGACAAGGAAACCGGGTACATCGTCAAACCGATCTTGGATGATGCTGTCATACAGGATGATGAGCAAAGGTTGAAGCTCATGGAGGAACTACATGAGGTCGGAAAAAACGCGGAATTGGCCTTCTTGGAAAATACACAAGTCAGAGCACAGCAGCAGGAGCAGACAAGAGGCAAGGAAGACAGTTCAAAGGAAATGGTGGAGGGTGAGGGAGACAACATGGACTGCGAAGAAGGAAGGATGGGGGGGACAGAGGGAGCAAGTCTCTCCACAAAGAGGAAGGGAGAGTCAAGAGAGGAAGAGGGGTCTGATGCTCAAGAAGGAGAGTTGCAGCAGGGAAAAAGGAGACAAAAGACCCAATCAGAGGATTGGGCCACCACAGGAGAGGAAGAAGAAGAGGGCCGCACAAGCATGGATTCATCAGAGACTTTGGGCCAAGATAGTGAGGCAAAATCAATCTCACAAGACTCGTCCTCAAAGGGTACCAGTGCAGGAGAGGAAGGGACAAACATTGCAAATAAGAGAGAAGGATTCGACAGACAAAGACCACCCAGAGGGTTCACCACAACAGGAAGAGGACAGAGGCAGATCTCAGGGGGCCCAGGGTCACATAACAGCGGAGGAAGAAGAAAGGGTAAGAGAAAGAGCGAGAAGGGGAGGCATGCAAAACAGTGAGAACATGTCAGTTGAACAGATACTGCAGGCAGAGGAGGACCTAAGAGAGGCTTCACCAGATACAGAAAGCAAAGCCTCATCAGAGGAGGATGAGGAAGAAGGGGAGGATGAGCAGGAAGACGCTGACGTGGAGGATTGGACAAGGGAACGGTGGGTAAAAGAAGTGGAGCAACTGGAATGGGGGAGGACGATTAAGTGCGAAATCAGGCTGGCCCACTACAAACACCTGAGGAACCTGCAACAAGCCACTCAAGCAGGGGATGACATTACGACAGAGAACAGGTTTGAACTGTTAAGGAGGGAGGGAGAAGTCAATGAGTTTTATGCATCTCAGTATGCAAGAAAGTCCCGGACGGTAAGGAACGAGATACACTTACAGCAGGAGGAATACGAGAGTATATTTCAATGGCCAAAGTCCTACCATAACAAGGAAAGGAAGAGGGAGAGCAAGAAATGAAAGGCTCAGGCGGCAGAGGAGCAAAACAGTATAGTGGAAGGAAGAAAGGACCCAATGGAGGGAGATGCAATGGAAGAAGAACAAAGGAATGGAGAGAGGGAAGAGGAAGAAATCCAGGATTTGAGAAGGCAAGCCGCGATTTTGGTGGTGCAGGTGAACCTGCTCAAGGACGAGAACAGGGAATTGGAGGACGACACAGTAAATGTACAAAAAATAGCGAAAGGACAGTGGAAAGAAATTGAAGCCGCGGCCAGACTGGAATCCAAAAATGGGAGGAGGAGAAGAGTAGTCCTTCCATGTCGATGGAACGCAAGGCACTCGGACTGGGAAGTGGCAATCAACCAATCCCTGCAGATGATAACAACCCCGTTTGAAGAGTGCTCGGGCTCAGAGCATCAGAAACTATTAGGGGGAGAGGTGCATGCTCGTGAATTCATACTGAGGGAGGGAGGAGTGGACCCGATGGCATTAGGAGAGGAAGGCGAGGAGGGGACAATGACAGATTTCGATCCCCTGCTGCTCCAAATGGGGACCGATTCTGAGCTAAGAGAAGGTTTGATTTGGATGCCTTGGCAGGTGGTGGAGACCATTCCCTATGGGTTGATTGGGGGGGAAATAGGTGCGGAATGGGTTGCCAGGTGTACAGCGGTGGCGACAAAAGTGGATGCGTTTGCTTGGAGGCCAGACTTCATCGAGAAGAGGGTAAGTAGGGTGCCAACAATCATAGACCTAACTGCACAAGACACTTAAACAAGGGGAGACGGAGGGTGAATCTACATTCTAACGTATGGACCCAATGGAGAGAGGAGAGTTAGAAAGACCGAGTAAGCAGAGAAGAAGGTTTGAGGGGGGTAAGGGTCTACCGGAACTCAAAATTACATCTTGGAATGTGAATGGCTTAGTAGGGATTTTAGAGAATGGAGACAAGTGGCAGAACGTAGTAAATTACTCAGAATGGTTCTCTCTATCTCCACCGGATTTTTTGTGCTTGCAGGAAACACACTTACAGGAGTCGGTAGCACACCAGAAAACGAAGTACCAGATAGAGAAGAAGCTGCAAAGAACCAAGGCAGCATGGTGGGCCCCAGCAACAAACAATCACTCCACGGGAGTGGTTATACTTCAGAACAATAAAGCGAACGCGGCAGGCAAGATTACTATTACAGAAACAAGGGTGGACGAGGAAGAGGGAAGATGGGTCAAGATTGACTTCGAGCTGCATGAGGAACCCTACACGCTACTGTCAGTTTACTGTCCAAATGACTACCATCAAAGATTGGATATGATCGAAAAGCTCAAACCACTTCTGGACGGGGATAGGCACCTGATCTTAGTAGGAGACTGGAACGCCACCTTAGATCCCGGCTTAGACAAAATTTCAAGGGGCTTCAGATCAGAGGAAGAGTGCTGGACAGAAGAGTCTCTACCGATTCATGGGCTAATGACGAATTTAGAATTGATGGACCCGTATAGGTTACTCTTCCCCAACGAAAGACAATTCACCTATAGAAAGAGAAACCGGAGCCAACACGTTTCGGCTTCCAGAATAGACTACTTCTTAACATCACCAGGCATAACAGGCATGCTACATTCAGTAGCCATAGGTTCCCTTCCGTACGACGTGGGTTTGGACCACAAACCTATCCTTTCAAGTTTGATATCAGACAAACAAATCAGCAAGGGTAAGGGGTTCTACAAAATCAATAATTCCCTTCTTAAAACTAAGGAAATGAGACAGGCGGTCCTTCAAGTGTGTCAGGAATACAACCCAGACACACACTCATTCTGAGTACTGCTAACATCACTGTCTAAAGCTTCTGCCCTGGTGGCGAGGAGGCTCGCGACAAAGAGGAAGGAAAAAGAAGAGGAACTGGCGCGAGCAATAGAGATAGCAGAGCGCAATACTATTCTCAAGCCAGGGGACGAAATGTATGAAAGAACATTAGAGACGGCAAAAGAAGAGATGAGAGAGTGGCAGCGCTGGAAAATGAAAGGATTAAGAATGAGAGCTAGAATCAAAGAATGGGAGGAAGGGGAGAGAATGACCAAATTTTTCTTCCAAAAAATCAAGACCAGGGGCAGAAACAATCTCATAGAAAGCTTAGAAGGGGAAGGGGGGCCGACTTCCGACAAGGAGGRGTTGTTAAGGGTGGCTTTTGACTTCTAKAGTAAGCTATATACATCAGTGGAAGACCACTTCCCTAAGCCTAAAGTTGATGAGGCGAGATYAAMGTTCCTGAATTATCTGGAGAACACAATCTCAYGAAAGCATGCTGCCATGCTAGACGAACCCTTAACACAGGACGAGTTATGGGACGCATTAAAAACAATGACCCCAAACAAAACCCYGGGGAAAGATGGCCTGACAAGAGAATTCTGGCTAGAATATTKGCCAATTCTGGGTRGGGAATACGTTTCCTTTCTCGAACAGGCATGGYAGGACGARGGTTTAGGGAGTGAGCCCGCAACGGGGATAGTCACGCTGCTCTACAAAAAAGGGRGCCCAACGGACATWCGTAATTACAGACCAATAACTTTGTTGACCCTCACTCACAAAATAGTAGCCAAGGCGCTAGCTAATCGATYATCCAAAATTAYGGCGGGTTGCTTCCACCTGGACCAAACAGGATTCATACCGGGTAGATTTATTCTAGACAATGTCATGTGCCTAAYAGAATCGGTCYGGTACATAAGGGACAAGAGAATCAACGCCGCCATCCTCTTTTTCRACTTTGAAAAGGCTWACGATCAGGTCAGTTGGCCTTTCTTGCAGCTGTGCATGGAAAAGATGGGGGTAGGGCCRAACTTTAGGAAGTGGATCMGGATCTTATACAACAATGCACAAGGACAAGTACAGATAAATGGTCACTTATCCTYGACCTACCCGATGACAAGGTCGGTTAGGCAAGGAGATCCCTTAGCTGCTCCTATCTTTCTCTTCATAATGGAGGCAATTGCCTCCTTCCTGAGAAAGGACCCGTCAATAGAAAGACTAACAGCTCCACCAGACCAGCAAGGTCACAAGGTGGTAATCCCCACGAC